TTTCGGAAATTTTAAAGTACTGGCAAACGTGCTACATTCATTTAACGCAACAGGAAAAACCAGCAATATTCAACAACTTTAAAATTGGTTCTAAGTTGCACTGTTAAACTCACAGGAGAAAAATAAGCCAAGTACAGGGTCGGTTGTCTTCCGCCGGGTAAATAAACCGTGTTGGGCCAATAATATTCAGTTGTGAAATTTTGAAAGAACGAATGCCTTAATTAGATAAAAATATCACAACGTACCAAGGGAAATAATTATTCTGCTAAAACTTTTTTCACTTCAGATCAGCCATTACCCTGTCCAGCACCTCCAATTTCACAAATGGCTAAAGGATAGTACGCCTTACGTTTGGCAATTCGTCGGCAGCAAAACCTTGAACTCACTGGAGTGAATCGAGCACCTTCATTCAATCAGCAGCAATGTACCTGAATGTCTGAAACGACGATAACCGGGTTTGCACAACTACCAGAAGCCAAATCGGTGAGAACTAACAGATCAGCGGATTACAAGCAATGTGCATAAATGGATGCTTCGGAGCCGGCTGAAGAGTGGGAACAGGGGACGGACTTGGTCGTGTTAGCAGCTGATCGGCAACAACACTGAGACCCGAATTGAACACCGATATGAAACCCGTCAATTGACGCTCTCCCAGGCAACACTTCTTAGCACCACACGGTGATGGAAGCCGCTGAGCTGATGTTTTCCGCTTTCGCCGACGACGATGACTACTGGCAAGGGAGTGCAGTCTCTTCTCGGAAATATCCTCGCTGCCGGAATAGCCACCGTAGTCCTCCTCATCACTGCTGCACGATGAGCTGGCTTCTTCGTCGTCTGATGATGCAGATTCCGAGGGAACTGCGGTGGCATCACCCTGTTTTGTTTGGCAACAGCAATTATATCTGGAATCGCAGGTCAAATCATGGGATACAACGCTTTCGCCACAGTTCTGCTTTGCTTTCTCCTCTTCTACAGTCTGCAATGTGTTTGTCCGTTCCGGGAAAAATAAGTCAGGAAGAGGCGTCAGTTCGGCGTATGAATTTTGACGCGCTGCAGCGGGCTCCTCCATAGCGTACATTTCGGGGCCTTCGAATGTATACTGCAGTGGAGCAAGACGAAGCGATGAATAATCAAATTCGGTTCGTTCCTGGTTCATAAGACTGTTGCCATCCGAGCTACTTGAATGTATCGGCTCACTGCTGAAACAATAAAACTTTTTAGTTTCTGCTAGATAAATACGTGAGCTTTTAATTCTAAACTGATTCTTCAACTTTTGCTTTAATTTAATTTTCGAATTTCACTCAGTCACATCAGTTACTACACAAATTAATTTATCCGGTTTTTGCTACTAGATTTTGAAAAAAAAAAAAAAAACAGGGATGTATGATGCTAAAAAATGTGTACAAAACGATGAATGGCGAACGGTCGGACAACAAGCAAATGATGATCGAAAAAACTCCGCCAGTTTCTTTACGATCAAACAATGGTGAATCATTGCTGTTTGTACAACCACCTAGTCATGCTGCCATCTCAATTCTTTCCCTTTGAGAAGAAATTTCACAGTTCACAACCCCCTTCCTTCAAACAGTGAAATTGTTAGCAAATCGATTACACAGAACAGGTTTTGTCATCCATTCATTTCTGGCCCTCCCTGCAACGCGGCAGTATTTGTCCACCTGAAAGATGGAATGGGAGACCCAACCGTCTTTCACCCCAATCACAGCGTGCTGGAACATGCAATTTTAAACCGGAAAGTACGTCCTGCTACGTTCATATGTCACCGATGCACTGGAACTGCCGGCTTCTTTTTCATATGCATTAATTTTTAACAAAATTTCTTTTTCGCATCGTTCTTCCTCTCCACACTGACAATGTTTGCCATCGTAACAATTTTTGCCAAAAATTAGCAGGTTTTCGACAAAATTTAAAAAAAAAATGGAAAAAATAATTCTACATTTTTATAAAGCTTATGAATACACTTATATTCGCTTGAAGTAGCAAATTAATTTCAAAATCGCGAATTGCCATAAGCCAAAAAAGATGGTTACGGTTACTCAATATGCGTCCATCCCTAATATTACCATTTGTAATGTAAAAATCCGAATCAAATCTGCAATCCAGCAATGGTGATATTCAAGCCGGACGACTATTTTGAAGTCTGACGTTCCTTTCGGTGTCAATTTCTTATAATATAAAAGATCTGAGGAATTTTTTATTTATGCTATGAAAATGACTCGTGCAGAACCCCATCCATCAATTAGTTGGCAGAGAGCAGGACTAACAACAACTTCATAGAAAAAAAAAATCAAAAGCACTGTTAAAAAAACCATAAAAGAAGAGAGGAAACTAGAAGAATCTAAACAAATGAAGCCATCAGCGCTAATATAGAAATCGCACATGCCGATAATAACCTTGAATCCTGGAATTGTCACATGACAAGCAGCTTTTGACTGCAGAGAGACCCTAAAAAGCGACGGTACGAAGATAAATTTTAATGACTGGCCAACGCACCGACTGCCAGTGTGAAGATGCGTTTTTTTAAAAGTTCCCCGCAGTTTTTATCTCTACCAGCACCACTTCTTCCGACAATAGCTTCTAGCTAAAAGAATTGAGACTGGCCGCCAGGACTTTCAGGAAGCATCCGTTTAAAATTTCAGTTTTCTTGCTTTCCTGGTTTCCAAGTTAATAGCTCACCCCAAAAAAAAAAAAAATTTGGCGGACTCGTGCGTGAGTACCACGCATACCTGACAGTTGGGTTTGAACTCACTAATACCTACTTGGACGGGGAACACCCCTTCAAAATTCCAATCTCCTAGCTTCTCAGATTCCCGAATTAGAAACTTATCTGAAAAAAACTTTGGCGGGCCCGTACGTGAGTGTCACGCATACACGAGGACTGGTTTGAAGCTCATTAGGACTTACGTGGAGGGGGAACACCCCCTTAAATTTTCAGCTTTCTAGTTTTTCTGGTTCCCGAGTTAGCAACTTACCCGCAAGAAACTTTCATGTGCCCGTACGTGGAGTACCACGTGGATAAGACCGCCCATTTTGAGGATGGGGGCCCATACATGCATGTACATTACGTTCCCAAAATTTCATCCCTGTAGCTTTTGTAGGTCTTGAGATGAAAGACCGGTACAGACACACACACAGACAACCAAAAGTCAATATGCGCTTTCTGCACTGCATAAAAAAAAAGCGCACAAAAAAGAGTTGCAAAAACTACGGCACATTTTTGCAGCATTTTTTAGACAAGCAATACCTTCTTGATAGATCCAAAAGATGAGTGGCCTGGCCCTCATCCTCATCCAATTCATCGTCTTCGCTGTCATCCATGCTAACGTCTACATAACTGCTGTCTGCATGTGTTGCTATAGCTGGTGTATTGTTTGATGCGGGAACACCAAATAATTCGCTTGTTGGTAGCGCCGATTCGCTAAACATTTCCATATTTTCGCTGTATAAAGGCGATCTGCAAATTTGAGAATTTTGAAATTTTTCCAGAAACTAAGTTCCTTCTTTATTTTAGAATGAACTAGATGCGGTAAAGTGCAGCCCCTAGGAAAAAGACGAAAATTCATCATGTACACAAAATGAATAAAGTAAACATCAAAAGATGAATTCGCAGAGGTATTTTTTCGAATTCATTTATTCCACAACTACATCATCCTGAAGGTACATTTGAGATCGAACCAAGAAAATAGCACAAATGGTGGGCTGCATTCACTACATCAGAGAGCTGAGGATGAAATCTGTAAAACCTATAACTTTGATTATTTTAGCTTTTTCCTAGGCCACCTTAATGCTCCTGCACCTGATTCTAGCACTTGCCCTGGTCTTGCTTTTTTTTCTTTTTTCACAAAAATTAACCTCTTTTGTTCGTCGCGTGCCTTTCTCAACAAATGCAAGATTAAGAGATTCCTATGGAGCTTGGCACCGCCTCGTTCACTTTTCGAATTGACCATTTTGGCGCATGAAAGACGAATTAAGCGATTGCACACTTCCGTTTCGATGATTTCATCGACATCGCCACTCACCGAAGACATCTCTCTGAAAAATACTCAATCAGTGAGAATAGCTGCAAGTGGTCAGACTTCCGAAATGCAGACGCGATCGATTCCGATGAAAAAATACAAGAAAGCACGCTTTCCCAGAAATACTCTTATATATAACAACAACAGTAAATAATAACAATTATAAATCTTCCGTTATTTTCACTACAG